CGCCAGGACGAGGAGGTGCCCAGGTGGGGTGGGGTGGGGGGTGGGGGGGGGCGATGTGCACAGACTGCCCTGCCGCTGCCAGGAGGAGGAGGAGGAGGAGCAGGAGGAGGAGGAGGAAAAGGGCGAGGATGAGGAGGAGGAGGAGGAAGATGAGGAGGGGGAGGAGCAGCAGGAGGAGGAGGAGGAGCAGGAGGAGCAGGAGGCGGAGGAGGAGCAGGAGGAGGAGGAGGAAAGGAAAGGACGAAAAGGACAGGAGAGAGGTGCGAAGGACGGAAAGGAGGAGATGGGAGAGGGTGAGGCAAAGAGAGAGAGAGAGGAAGACGACGACGAGGGCAAGGCGGAGGCCCCTTGGCACCACTGGCCTGCCGCAAGCACAGTTAGATGGACCTCGGGCCTCCAGCGGATCCTGGTAGTGGGCACCCGCGGCGACGTGCAGCCGTTCGTAGAGCTGGGCCGACGGTTGCAGGAGGACGCGGCCTGGCGCGAGCGGCCCGAGGCCCAGAGGCCTGTGGAGGAAGAGGCGGAGGCGGAGGAGGAGGAGGAGGAGGAGGATTTGGAGGAGAAGAGATAGGATTTGGAGGAGGAGGAGGAGGAGGAAGAGACGAAAGAAGACAGAGCAGGAAGGATTGGATGGGGAGTGGGATCTGGAGGAGGGGACCGAGCGATCTCCTGGAAGTGCATTGCTTGGCGCGCGTGCTTGTCGGCCGCTGGATGGTGGCTCAAGTCAATTCTTGACGCTTCGGATGAGCCCACGTCTCAATTGGCGGCTATTGACGTCCTGCAACAATGTTGGGATAGGCACAGGCAAGACGACACCGGCATCTCTCCGGTCGCCCCCCTTGACCCCATTCTAGCAGCATGCCAGCTTGCCGGCATGGGCAATGCTCAAGTCATTGACACGCTCCGTACTCTCGAGCAGTAGGGTGCGGTAGCTCAGCCAGAAGGGGGCGCAACCTGGAACATCACTGGCTCTCTGATGGCCCAGAGAAGTCGCGATATGGACCTCACACAGCTCTCGGGCGTGCTAGTGGCCGACCTCCCAGTGGCTGCCGCCTTTCCGCGACCAATCCCCTCCGACACCTCGGGTGGACAACCCCTGCACCTGGTCTCCGTTTTCGGCGGATGGGGCCTAGCCCGGTACGCTGTCGGTGATCTAGTCAGCAGGATGGGCCTCCCGCACCGCTTCATCTCGTCGGTCTTCTCCGGCTGAAACTTCGACGCGGCTCAGCGAGTCGGGCACTGCTGGCGACACAGTTCCCCCCACCCCACTGATAGTGGCCCCCCCACACTCAGCTCACGGCGGACGTGTGGGACCTTTTCTGGCCCACGGACTCTGGCCACTCCCCGTGGACAAAATACATCGACGCGCTCCTCCTGGGCAGCCTCCTCATTCTTGGGGGCAGCCCCTGCAACAATCTCTCCGCGGCCAGCACATATGGGGGGGCCGACGGGCTTGCGGGAAGGTCCTCACTCAATTTCTTCGCCATACCCTTGGCCTGGCTCACCTCTGCCAGAAGGCGCCCGGATATCCAGATCATCGTGGTCTCCGAAAACGTAGCCCCTTATGCAGAATGCCCACAGGACGGCCATGCGACGCTCCCTCGGAGGCATCCCTGACGACAATGCAGGCGAACGGGTGGCCAGCCCATGGAGCCACACGTGGATGGCCACCTTTCCACCCTCGCCAAGATCTCTCAGCTACCCCCGCCTACCATCCCCATGGGAACCAAGATGGGCCTTCCGCCCAGATGGCCGTATCCCCACGTGGACCCAATCCCGCGGTGACCTCCCCGACGAAGTCCTTCCCAGCAGCTACCAGACCCACCTGGCCTGCCTCCTCTACAACTAGGACGCGGGCACTAGGTGGTTCCTCTGTTCCATGGCAAACGCCAGTGACAGGGCCCGCGCTATCCTCACCGACACGGCCGCCAACACCCGCTTCCCAGTGTGCCTAGCTGGCCTCCAGCTGGTCATGCAGGGACGCGAACGAGAAGGACGTGGAGCGGAGGACAAGGTGCGTGCCTGGGGGAGATGGCCCATGGCAGAAGGCAGGCAACACGGACTACGACCCCCCACGCCAGAGGAACGAGCCCGTGCGGATGGCCTCAGCGGATACTACAATGGCCTCCCCTCCCTGGTGCCTGGAGGGTGAATCCAGGTGTGTCCCCGCCGTCTGGTTCGAGCTGCCAGGCACTCCCGCCTGCCAATTCTTGGCCGGCGCATGGCCGTGAAGCGACGGCTGGACCGGGACGACGGCAGGAGCGACACAATGCCATGCCGGCCATCACAGCCTCTGCGGGTCTCTCGGCGAGAGGCCGGCACTCGACCAGCTAGCCTTGGCGCTTGCGAACAAACACATGCCTGTCTACATCCACGACCTTGGACTCCAAGGACGGCCCCTATACGACGCCGTCGGCATCCACTTTGACCCAAGGTCACCACAACAGCGTCTCCTGGGAGCTATGCTGACATGGGCCGGACAGCCCCCCACTCGAGGCCCTTTCGGGGACGCGCAGTCCCCCCACGGCGTCTCCCCACACCCTCCCAGCGAGGCCACACTCGTTGAGGCGTTCCACGAGGCCCGCGCCTACGCGCGCATCCACGCACCCTTTGCCCCCCCTGCCCATGCGCCTTTTCCCGACGACAGCCTTCAGCAGCTGCAGGCGAGCGGGAGCCTCCCAGAAGCCATCCCCGCACATCGCTCGACGGTCCCTCAGACTTCCTGACTGACCCCGGGACGCTCTACCAGACCCTGAGGTCCCCTCCCCTCCGCCAGCTCGTCCCCTCTGTCAAGTCTCGTCGCTGGCACCGCGCCGTCCGTCAACTAAATTCCCACCTCACGGCGCGACACACTTTTTCTGTTCGCTCCCCCCGCGCCCTTTGGGCCGTCTTGCACCACTCTCCCTGGCACGGCCCCACATGGCACGAGCTCTGCCTGGAACACACAGTTGACGACCTCTGCGCCAGGCTGGCTCTCGCAGCGACCCTGGGCGTCCTAAGCTTGCATCATGGAACGTTCGGTATCTACGCGGCACCATGGCTTACAAGAGCCAACTCAAGCACGCCCTCATTTCGCAAATTTCCTCTAATGGCCGGATTGCCTTTCTCCAGGAAGCCGATTGGTCCGAGCATGAGACCTCCGCCTGGGGCTTCACGTTCCCAGCCCGAACACTCGTTGCATCGCCTGCCTCTGCCCGCCGCGGCGGGGGGGTCGCCGGCGGGGTTGCCATCGTTCTCTCCCACGGCCCCCCCCCCATCGAATCCGGGACACTTGTCAACTTGTCCCTGGTTGCGCTGTGTTCGCCACTATCCATCACGCGGGCGTAGCCGTCCGCTTGGTGTCGGTATACCTCCCACCAGGCGGCAAGGCCGATACCATTCGTGCCCTGAGTGAAGCCATAGACGATTGGGACGCCACCCCCACGTTTTGGGGCGGCGGCGTCAACATCCAGCTGTCCTGCCCGCGGGAAGGCGAATTGGAGGAGGCCTCGCGTTTGTCTTCGCTTTTGGAAAGCCGCGGCGCCATCCCCGCCCCCATTGAGGGCCCGACCAGAGTAGACAAGGAGAACTAGGCGCAGATTGACATGGTTGCTTGCCCCCTGCCCCTGGTCTGCGTACACAGGGTCTGGAAGGCTTGGAAGTCCTCCCTCTCGGACCACGCCATCCGGCACTCAGGTTGGCGCCTCCTCCGCCTCCTCCCTTTTTTCCTACGCCTCCTCTTCCTCCAACGAAGACGACGATGACGACGACGACGGCGGCGGCGACGACGACGACGAAGACGAAGACGGCGGCGGTGACGACGACGACGGCCCACGACGGCGGTGGCGGCAACGACCACGATTGACGACGACGACGACGACGACGACGACGACGACGACGACTGCGGCGGCGGCGACGCCAACGACGACGATGACGACGCCGACGGCGACGGCGGCGGCTGGCGGTGCTGTTGAGCGGGGAGGGCCGGCCGCAAAGGACGGGCACCGCGCGCGCCTCGCCACGCACGACGTGACGGGGCCTCGGAAGCTTTCGCGGGGGGGGGGAGGAGGGGCAGGAGGAGGAGGGGAGGGAGGGGGAGGAGACGCGCGGAGGCGATCATGATCGAATGTGTAGATATTCGCGCCGTGAAGGTACCAAGAGGGTCAGTTTTACCTATACTTGGTCTTGCACAGCGGGGTCAGCGACAGCGAACGTTCAACGGAGGTTGCGGCCACATCCTTGTCGGCCTCGTCGTAAAGCTTGGAAGGACGCGCGTTTGATCTACGTGCGGGAAGGAATAGGAGGATGAGGAAAAGGAGGAAGATCTGTGTAAGTCCACGGCGCATCAACGACGTAACGATAAACCCACCCTCCAATCTCTCTCTGGGGTCCCACCAGAATGTATCTTCATTGCGGGAAGTGCCCGATTTGATGACGGACATCTGAGAAGATTTGACATTGCCAAAACATCATTCCGGGGACTTCAGCGCGGCGAATCGACGTGATTTTTGCGTCCTGACAGTCCGAACTTCTTCGTGAACACCATTCCTGGGACATCAACGCCGCGAACCAACGTGACAGCTGAGTCCTAACAACCTTAAGCCGTGCCAGAGCACCACTCCTATTACATTAGCCATAAGAACCTCTGCAAACGTTGCAAAGTTTTGCCAATTTCCGCGGCGCCAGGGCGAGAGACGTAGTTTAACAAACAAAAACAAGCCCTCCATCATTGCAGGCGTTGTAATTTTTTAAAAACGGATGCGCGCGGCACTCAGGCGAGAGACAGATTTCGAAGACCGCCCGCCCTCCATACTCGAAACGGCTGCACATGTTCAAGACGAGCGCGCGCGGCGCTCAGGCGAGAGCCACGATTTGAAACCGTTGTTCCGCCCTGCATCCGCGAAGCGGTTGCAACTTGATATGACGAGCGTGCGCGTGGCGAAGGCGAGAGCCCCATTTTGAGAACCACCCGGCATACGTTCGTGAAAGTGTTGCATCTTGCAAGTTTCAGGATCATGCATGGTGGGGGAATCTCGTGCGCAACGCGCGACCCGCCCTACCGACACGCCTGGGAGTGCGAGAGAGAGAGAGAGTTCAGTTGCACGGAAACGAGACGGAGGCGAAGGGGGAGGCGGAGGAGGAGGACGAGGAGGCGGAGGAGGAGGAGAAGGAGGGAGGAGGAGGGGGGAGGGGAGGGAGGAGGAGGAGTGGGGTGGCGCGGCTGGGGACCTCGTACTGCAGGAAAGCCAGCACAGGTGGTCGGGGCCAAGCCTTCCACTTTACATGGCCCTGGCCAGATTCCCTCCAGTCGGTTCAACCCTTGGCAACCTCAACCAGCCGTCCTGGGCTCGCGCTAGCCCCTTCAGCTTTGCCAGCCCTGACCGTTTCCATTGTCACTGCATTGCCAAACCCCCATGTTCCCAGCTTCCCTGTTTTCCACGTCCTTCTCTTCATCTCCAACAGCATACAGCGACTCATTATCCTCCTCCTCCTCATCATCATCATCGTCATCATTAGCAGCATCATCATCATAATCAGCATCAGCATCATCATCAGTAACGTCTCCCCCTGGCCTGTTACATCTACTCGTGCTGCTGCTCATCGTATTTCAACCTGTCACGTCCTCCGTCAGCGATGCTGGGGGGCAACATGTCGAATCGCCCGCCTCCAGGCACCACCCATGTTGAAGACTCATTCTTCGTCATTCGTTTCTCCATCCTCCGCGTAGCCCCCATATCCACTACGCTACGGGTTATCGTCACGGGTTCTCCGATCCCCCATTCCTATTCGTGTTGTTCGGGGCCACGTCCCTATTGTACCAGTGCTGTTGTGTCTATGCGTGCCTCGACATGCACCACCACTCATACTCTTACTCTAACCCGTCCCTGCTTATACTCGCAGGCGGATGCGCACCCGCATGCATATTCGCACTCATAGGCCTTAGCGCTGATCATGTAAAGGTTCGCAAGCACTTTTAATACGTAGGCTATTCGAGCACCGTGTGAACAAACTAGTACCGACAAGCAGCAGTGATGTATTGGCATCCCAAAGGCAGGTTCGACCTCGTCACCCGCATACGTACTCATCGGCCTGACTCGTTCCAATAGTTATCGTTCTTCGTCGGCGACATCTTCATACTCACCGTCATGATCATCATCAGACGCATCATAACCATATTCGCCACCACCACACTCAACATGTAAGTTATGTGGAACGTGCGAGTTGAAAAGCAGCACCTCATGTTAGACAATGTCGGCGCCCTCTGGGACGGCCGCTTGGCGGCTTGTCAGGCCGCACCCAGGTTTCCACCATCTAAGCTTATAATACGCGCCTGGCCGCTGAATGGATTGCCACGTTCGCACCCGTAGTAACGTTGCTGCCTATGCGAAGTAGCACTGCGAGTAGTACCACGAATTTCTCATGGTCCTTCTTGTCGTCCCTCCTGTGCCCCTCTGGGATGAAAGGCGAGAGGAGAGAGGGCGAGGGGAGGGTAGCAGCTGGGCGCGCTCGCGTCATTCGAAGAAGAAAAAACGCATAAACACAAACTGTTGGAGCTCTGCGCGGACTTCTTGGATCCGCGCTGGTCCCCCCCTGGCGGCGCCTCCGGCGCCGCCGCTGGCGGGCTCCGCGCGCCAGGGGGTGGGGGTCCAGCGCAGATCCAAGAAATCTGCGCGGAGCGCCAAAAGTTTATGTTTAAAATTTTCTTATTCTAATCATATGTGGGTGGCATCCTGCCCCTCCTTCCCATTCCTTCCCATTGTGCTGAGTTCGGGTGTCTCCACAGGCTGGGGTGCCTTGGATGCCCTTGATCCTGAACAGACGGCCCCAACGCGTGATGCATGCGCACTGAGGGGGGGCGTGCTTGCACGCTGGCGTCGGAGGAGGTGGCGGATGAGCGGGAGGGTGAGCAGGAGGAAGAGGAGGATGTGGAGCGAGGAGGGGGAGGAGGATCAGCAGCAGCACAAGCAGGAGGGGAAGGCGGAGGGGGGGAAGGGGGAAATGGGGGGGGAGGCGACAACCACGGGGAAGGGGTCGGATCCAGAAATGGGGCCTGCGTTGCGGTGAGAGCGTTATTTTGAACGAGCGGAGCGAAGCGCCGACCTTGACATGTGGCCAACACTGCAGCGGGAACCACCATGCATGAGGGACCGAGAACGTTCCGGACAAGAAAGCCGCATGGCATAAACAGTGTATAGCAATATTGCTTGCGGAAACAAGACGAAAGAGAGGCGGCGGCAGTTCCAGGCATGACCAGGGGAAGGAGATTACGGTCAGGAGTATGTACTTAGCGTGTCGTTCCAAGTTTCGGCATGACACGCTAAGTATTCCCTGGCCCTTGTCTGTTCATTACGGTCGAGGCGCTAAGATAAGGGCCACTTTGTTTCCACAAAAGCGATGATGATGATGTTGATGATGATGTTAATGATGTCGGTGATGTTGATGATGATGTTGATGATGGTTTTTGGGCCGTTCCTCACATCGCAGTCGGAGCGCCTCTCCGTGGCCGGGGCCGGTCGTGGCCAGACAGGCCCAGTCGTTCTTGATGCAGCGTCCCTTCTGGCAGCACGATGAAACTAGGCTGGATTCCAGGCACCCCCAGCGGACCAGCTCGCATGTTGAAAAGTGCTCGCGTGCGTAAGCGTGTGTGTGTGTGTGTACGTGTGTGTGTGTGCGTGTGTGTGCGCGCATGTTTTCGTGTGCGTGTGTGTGTGTGTGCGTGTGTGCGTGTGTGTGTGTGTGTGCGTGTGCGCGTGTGTGCGTGTGTGTGCGGGTTTGTGTGCGCGTGTGTGCGTGAGCGTGTGTGGGTGTGGGTGTGCGTGTGGGTGTGTGTATGTGTGTGCTTGTGAGTGTGCGCGTGTGTGTGTGTGTGTTGTGTGTTGTGTGTTGCGTGTGTGCGTGTGTGCGTGTGTGTGTGTGTGTGTGTTTGTGTGTGCGTGCGTGCGTGCGTGTGTTGTGTGTGTGTGTGTGTGTGCGTGTGTGCGTGTGTGAGCGTGTTGCATATGTGCGCGTGTGTGCGTGCGCGTGTGGCGCGTGCGCGCGCGGTGTGTGTTTGTGTGGTGTGCGTGTGTGTGTGTGTGTGCGTGTGTGTGTGTGTGCGTGTGTAGGTGTGTGCGTGGCGTGTGTGTGTGCGTGTGCGCGTGTGTGTGTGTGGTGTGTGGTGTACGAGAGCCGTGTGTGTGTTGTGTGCGTGAGTTACGGGTGTGCGTGCGTCAGGTGCGTGTGTGCGCGTGGTGCGTGAGGCGTGCGTGCGTGTTGTGAGATGTGTGCGTGTGTGCGTTCGTGCGTGCGTGTGTGTGTGTGTGTGTGTGTGTGTGTGCGTGCGTGTGTGCGTGCGTGATCGTGTGTGTGTGTTTATGTGTGTGCGTGCTGTGGCGGTTGTGTGCGCGTGTGTGTGTGTGCGTGTGTGCGTGCGAGAACGTGGTGTGTGTGTGTGCGTTTGTGCGTGCGTGAGCGTGTGTTATGTGCGTGTGCGTGTGTGTGTGTGTGAGTGTGTGTGTGTGTGTGTGCGTGAGCGGTGTGTTTGTGTGTGTGCGTGGTTAGCGTGCGTGTGCGTGAGCGTGTGCGTGTGTGCGTGTGCGTGTCGGTGTGCGTGTGCGTGTGTGCGTGCGCGTGCGCGTTCGCGTGCGCGTGCGCGTGCGCGTGCGCGTGTGCGTGTGCGTGCGCGTGCGCGTGTGCGGGTGCGTGTGCGTGTGCGTGTGCGTGTGCATATGCGTGTGCATGTGCATGTGCATTTGCGTGTGCGTGTGTGTGTGTGTGTTTGTTTGTGTGTGTCTGTGTGTGTGTGTGTCTGTGTGTGGGGGGGGGGGGGGTGGTGCGTGTGTGTGTGTGCGTGCGTGCGTGCGTGCGTGTGTGCGCGCGTGAGCGCACGAGTGTGTGTGCGTGTATGTGTGTGGTTGTCGATGTGAATTCGTGTGTGTCCGTGTGTGCTTTTGTGTGCGTGCGTGTGTGTGTGTGCGTGTGTGTGTGTGTGTGAGTGCGTGCGTGTTTGCGTGCGTGCGTGTTTGCGTGCGTGCGTGCGTGCTTGCGTGTGTGTGTGTGTGTGTGTTTTTGTTTGTGGTGTTTGTGGGCGCAGCCCGGCTCCGGCCCGGCCCTGGGCACCGCGGACAACAGCAGCGCAGAGCGCGGCTTCGACACATTCCCACGCGCTCGCCACTGCAGGGCAGGCTTCCACCCTGCAGAAGACCGGCACCCTGTCGGTCATTGGCGGCATCTGCCTGGCATGGCCTGACTGCCGCGCCTCAGACGATGGCTCCCGCACCCTGGGTCTGTGGCACCTTGGACAACCACGGCCCTGCTCCCGCATCCTGTTCGGTGGCACAACGCTGCACTTCGGCTCAGCGATGCTCCCTACCTTCCCTGGGCATCGCCTCTTGGATATAAAGCGAGTCCTCCTGTGCTGCCACTTGAGGCTGGTGTACGATGCGCCGTTGACGGCACCACCACCACAGCATTTTGCTTCTTCTGGTACTTCGCCGCCGGGTTCCTGTCCAAGGCGTTCCTTTGCAAGCACATCGTCTTCGGAACCGCCTGATTCCGGAGTTTTGCCCCCTCCTGGCCTTGATGTGAGGCCCCTCCTTCTGCCCCCCTCTCGTTAATTCAAGCTGTGCGCGGCCCGCTTAGCTTCGAGACCCGCGGATCAAACAAGTTTGTGGTATTTGTGTGTGTGCCTATGTGTGCGCCTGTCTGTCTGTCTGTCTGTCTGTCTGTCTGTCTGTCTGTCTGTCTGTCTGTCTGTCTGTCTGTCTGTCTGTCTGTCTACCTGTCTGTCTGTCTGTCTGTCTGTGTGTCTGTGTGTCTGTGTGTGGTGTGTGGTGTGTGCGGTGTGAATGTGTGCGTGCGTGCGTGCGTGCGTGTGTGAGTGTGTATGTGTCTGTGTGTGTTTGCGTATGTGTTGATGCGTGTGTTTGTTTGTCTGTCTCTGTCTGTATGCGGAAGCACGTGCTCGTGCTCGCTCCTGTTGCACACGGTCCGAGGTATAGAGACCTCGTGCGGAGCGGCGGCCTGGAGTTCTACCCGCTTGGCGGAGCAGCCTCTCTTGCTATCTGTCCGTGTCGTTGTGCGCGGTCTCCGAGGGGCAATTGTGTCACCCCACGCAAGAGCCAGGGAGAGAGAGGGAGAGAGAGAGAGAGAGACACACCAACAGATAGACAGACAAACAGGCAGACAGACAGAAGAAAGCACACTAAACACTACGAGCATTAGGAAGGGAGAGAGAAAGACAGAGAGAGAGAGATAAAACAAACAGATAGATAGAGAGAGAGAGAGAGAGAGACCGAGAGAGGGAGCCAGTGACAGCGACACAGGCATAGACAGAGAAAGAGAGATAGAGGAGGCAGAAGGAGAAAGGAAGAGAGAGGGATAAATACAGATACAAAATAGTGTACCTTGGTCGCATGGCGCCAGAAAGGCGCGTTGGGACGGGCAGCCTTCGCTGCCCCAGTGCGCCTCGTCAATGGGAACCATAGGGCTCGTGTGGCTCATAAAGCTCGTCTGTGATCATAGGGTTCCTGCGGCTCGTCTGGCCCAGAAAGCCCCCCTCGCCCGACTTGGTGAACGCTTGACCCGAAACCGGCCTCGAGACGGCACCGAGACGCCCCATGGACCCGGCATTTTGACGACCGCTCGAAATGCCAGGTGCTGGGGGTCTATTCGGGCCATCTTGGGCGGCTCCTGGGCTGCTCTGGGGCCCCGGAGAAGGCCCCGAGGGGGCCCCGAGCGAGCTCAAGAGGGATCCAAGAAGGCCCCAAGAGCGGCTCCATGTGGGCCCTCGCACCCGGCATTTTGACAGCTGCTGAAAATGCCGGGTGCGGGGTCCCTCTTGGAGCCTTCCTGGGGCTTTTTGGGGCCGCTCTTGGGCTACTCTTGAGGTGCCTGGGGCTCGGCGAAGGCCCCGAGAGAACCCCAAGAGAGCTGGCCCAAGAGCGGCCGAAGAGCACTGCATAATCATCAGTCAGATTGGGGTTCTCTTGCAGCGCTTGTGGGGCTCTTCCTTGGCCTCTCCTGGGCCCTGTAGAAGTCTCCGAGAGAGCCCCACCCCACGACAACTTCCATGGGGCCTTGGAGAAACCTCGGAGAAAGCCCCACGAGCCCTCCCGGATGGCATCTGAGGGCCTCGGGGGCGTGCGGATCATTGGGCACAGAGGGCTCGTCAGACTGAATGGGCTCGGAAGTCGTAGTGCGCAGGGCTCGTAGGGCCCGTGGGGCTGATAGGGCCGATAGGCCTCATAGGTCCCGCGAGGCTCATTTGGGGATCCTCTGGTGGGTCTGTCAGGGCTCATTCAAATCATAGAGCTCATAGGGCTCATAGGGTTCTTAGGCTTCGTATGGCTCGTAGGGCTCATAGGGCTCATAGGGCTCATAGAGCGCGTAGTTGTCATGGGACTCGTCAGGGCTCATAGGGCACATGGGGCTCATGAGGCTCATAGGGCTCATATGGCTCATCGGGCTCATAGGGTTAATCTGGCTCGTAGGGCTCATAGGGCTCATAGGACTCCTAGAACGCATAGATCCCATGGGACCCATGAGGGCTCATAGGGCTCATGGGGCTCATGAGGCTCATAGGGCTCATAGGGCTCATAGGGCTCATAAGGCTCATAGAGCTCATAGGGTTCATATGGCTCGTAGGGATCATAGGGCTCATAGAGCGCATAGGTCTCATGGGACTCATGAGGGCTCATAGTGCTCATGGGGCTCATGAGGCTCACAGGGCTTATAGGGGTCATGGGGCTCCCAGGGCTCATCGGGCTCAGAGTGCTCATAGGTTTCATGGGGCTCACCGGGCTCATCACGGGGCTCATTGGATCACAGGGCTCGCAGGGCATAGTGTTCATAGGGCTCATGGGGATCATGAGGCCCAGGGTCATAGGGCTCGCAGGACTCATTGGACGCATAGAGTTCATATGGCTCATAGGGCTGATAGCGCTCGTCGGGCTCATGGGGCTCATAAGTGTCATAGGGCTCATCGGGCCCAGATTGCTCATAGGGCTCGTAGGGCTCATAGGGTTCATGTGGCTCATAGGGCTCGTAGGGCTCAGAGGGGCTTATAGGACACGTGGTGTGCATAGGGCTCGTGAGAATCATGGGGCTCGTAGGGCTCATAGGGCTCTTATGCTTCATGTGGCTCATAGGGCTCACAGGGCGCGTAGGGCTCATGGGGCGCATGAGCTCGTGAGGCTCATAGGGCTCATGAGGGCTCATGAGGGCGCAGAGGGGCTCATAGGGGGCAGGAGGCTCCCAGGGCTCATCGGGCTCATAGGGCTCATAAGGGTCGTAGAGTTCGTATGGATCATAGGGTTCATAGGGCTCATAGGGCTCAGAGGGCCCAGAGGGGCTCATAGGGCTCGTGGGGCTCACAGGGCTCATGGGGTGCATGGGGCTCAGCAAAACCATCGGGCTCAGAGGACTCATACGGCCCATCGGGCTCATAGGGCTCACAGGGCCCGTAGGGCTCATGGGGCTTATGAGGTTTCTAGGGCTCATAGGGCTCACAGGGTTCATAGGTTTCATATGGCTCGTAGGGCTCAGAGGGCTGACAGGGGCTCATAGGGCTCGTAGGCCTCATAGGGGTCATGGGGTGCAGATGGTGCATAAGGCTCATACGTCTCATAGGGCGCATAGGGCTCGTAGGCCTCATGGGTGTCGTGGGGGTAATAGGGCTCATAGGGCTCATAGGGCTCATGGGGGCTCATAGGGTTCCTGTGCCTCCTGGGGCTCAGAGTGGATCATAGGAATCAAAAGGCGCATCGTGCTCGGAGGACTCATAGGGCCCGTTGCGCTCATTGGGCTTATAGGGCTCATCAGGGGTCCCAGGGCCGAAGGCTTGAACATGGCGCTTGAGGAATCTCCAAGACATTTAAGATACAACCTTGCGGAGATCAATGAGTGTGGCCTCTCGGGGCCTTGGCGGGGCTTTGTTTGGGGCTCTTTGGGGCCGTCGGGCGGCCCTCGTGGCCCGCTGCTGGACCTTCTCGGGCCGCCCTGAGGAGCGTGGGCCGTCCTGGGGCCTTCTTGGGCCCTTTCGGGAGCCTCCTGTGGCCTTCTGCGGCTGTCTTGGGAGCTTGAAGTCACGTTGGGCCCTCTTTGAGCGCACGGGCTGCTCTGGAACGGCCTTGGGTCGTCTCCGGCCTCCGCGGGACCGTCCGGGAAGCGATCGTGGGCCCGCCCGAGCGGCGTAGGGTGGCCCCGAGGGGTTGCCCAAACCAGAAATTCGTATTCCACGTCAGTGGGAGCGCCCAAAGCCGAATGTATGTACGGGGTGTGTGTAGGGGTTTTCCTTGTAAGAATAGCCGAGAAGGGATATATTTATACAAGTGGCACGTGTGTGCCCAGGCTCATACAAAAAACTGAAGGGGCGTTTGAAGCAGGAGTGAAATGCAACATCGAAGTCGCACTCGAGCGCAAGTGGGGTTGCCACACCTTGCGATGTGTGTACCAGGGCCCCCAGGAAGCCTAGGAGGCCCGACTTGGATACCAGAAGAGGCTCCAGGAGGCCCCAGGATTGTGAGTGTTGTGCGTGTGTGTGTGTGTGTGTGTGTGTGTGTGTGTGTGTGTGTGTGCTTTGTGTGGTGCGTGCGTTTGTGCGTGTGTGCGTGTGTGCGTGTGTGCGTGTGTGCGTGTGTGCGTGTGTGCGTGTGTGCGTGTGTGCGTGTGTGCGTGTGTGCGGGTGTGCGTGTGTGCGTGTGTGCGTGTGTGCGTGTGTGCGTGTGTGCGTGTGTGCGTGTGTGCGTGTGTGCGTGTGTGCGTGTGTGCGTGTGTGCGTGTGTGCGTGTGTGCGTGTGTGCGTGTGTGCGTGTGTGCGTGTGTGCGAGTGTGCGTGTGTGCGAGTGTGCGTGTGTGCGTGTGTGCGTGTGTGCGTGTGTGCGTGTGTGCGTGTGTGCGTGTGTGCGTGTGTGCGTGTGTGCGTGTGTGCGTGTGTGCGTGTGTGCGTGTGTGCGTGTGTGCGTGTGTGCGTGTGTGCGTGGGTGCGTAGGTGCGTGGGTGCGTGGGTGTGTGTGTTTGGGTGTGTGTGTGTGTTTGGGTGTGTGTATGTGTGTGTGTGTGTGTGTTTTGTGTGTGTGTAGTGTGTGTGTGTGTGTGTGTTGTTGTGTGGTGTGTGTGTGTGTGTGTGTGTGTGTGTGTGTGTGTGTGTGTGTGTGGGGTGTGTGTGTGTTGTGTGTGTGGTGTGTGTGTTTGTGTGTGTGGTGTGTGTGTGTGTTTGTTGTGTGTGTGTGTGTGTGTGTGTGTGTGTGTGTGTGTGTGTGTGTGTGTGTGTGTGTGTGTGCGTGCGTGCGGTGCGTGCGTGCGTGCGTGCGTGCGTGCGTGCGTGCGTGCGTGCGTGCGTGCGTGTGTGCGTGCGTGCGTGCGTGCGTGCGTGCGTGCGTGCGTGCGTGCGTGTGTGTGTGTGTGTGTGTGCGATGTATGCTTTGTGTGGTGCGTGCTGTTTGTGTGTTGTAGGTGTTGTGTGTGTGTGTTAGTTATGTTTGTCTAGCGTGTGATGTGTTGGGCGTGATTTGTGTATCTGTGTGCATGTAGTTCTGAAGCCCCAGGAGGCCCCAGGAGGCCCCAGGCGGCCTCAGGAGGCCCTAGGAGACCCCAGGAGGTTTCAGGAGGCCCCAAGAGGCTCCAGGAGGCCGCAGGAGGCCCCAGGAGGCCCCATGAGGTTTCAGGACACCCCCAGAGGCTCCGAGGCGGGGTCTGGGGTGCCAGAAGGTTCATAAAGCCCCAGGAGGCCCCAGGAGGTTCCAAGAGGCCCCCAGGAGGCTCCGAGGCGGGGTCTGGGGCTCGATTTTGGACAGATTTTTCAAGCGAAACCGCCATTCCCTGAGAATCGGGGTCACAATTATTGAAATTGCCATGCGTGTTTGAAGGTTTTATGTTAAAATGTTGAAGTTCCCATGTGTTTTTGGACCCTGACGTCACGATCTGCGTGAGGGGTGCCACCGATTTTCAGAATTTCGAGGATGTCCCGAGCGAAACGCCCAGAAAAATCGCGGACGCGTGCGCATTAATCGCCTCTGAGCTCTACTCCCTCGGAGAGGTGCG